GTCATCTCTTCTGCTGCTCCCAGCCTCCTCCCCTGCCCTTGGGCCTGCGCAGCCAGGAGCCTCCCAGCCGGCCCCGGGCCCTCTGGTCAGCGGGTGCCAGCATTTCCTGGGGCCTGGCTTCCCAAAGCCAGATGCTCTGTCCCTAAACGCTCTGTGCGTGCCCTGCTGGCTTCACCTTCGTTTAAGCCCCATCTCAACCGTCTGCCCATCACGGAGGCTCCCTGCCAGTGCGGCCTGTGCAAGAAGCCCTCTTGGACCTCCCGCCCCTCCGTGGAGAGCCAACAATACATGGTGTCTCCTGGCCCTTCCACAGCCTCTGTGCTCCTGTCTGCACACCCCCCCGGGCTGCAGGCACCGCCGTGTTTGTTCCTCCTGGACTGCAGTGCCCAGCACAGTGCCCACAGCTGTACCCAGAGCAGTGCCCACAGCTGTACCCAGTGCCCACACCACAGCTGTACCCAGTGTAGTGCCCACAGCTGTACCCAGAGCAGTGCCCACAGCTGTACCCAGCGCAGTGCTCACAGCTGTACACAGCACAGACCCCAGAGCTGTACCCAATGCACTGCCCACAGCTGTGCCCAGCGCAGTGCCCAGAGCTGTGCCCAGCGCAGTGCCCCAGTGAGGTAGACAAAGCAGGGATGGTTATCTCAGGGTGAGAAAGGGAGGCCCAGAGTGGTCGAGAGACCTGCCTGGGATCACACAGCTACCCGTGGCCTCCTCCCCCACCGCACCCACAGGGAGGGTCAGAGACAGCCAGCCCCCTGGGACATCAGCCTGTGAACGTGACTGCCAGCCCCCTTCATGCACACCAGCTGGGGAGGGCGGGAGCTTGAGGTACATGGGACCCCGAGGTAAGGAGACGATGATCTCAGTGAGCAGTCTGTGAGCCAGGCCCGTGCTGACGCGCTCCGTGGAGCCCTGGGGCGGAGCCGCCACCTCCCAAGTCAAGGCCTGGAGCGGGAGGACCAGGGAGTGGCCTTGGACTTGGACCAAGCTTTTGTTGCCAAAGAACTGGAATGATCGCGGTTCATAGTGACAGTAGCTAGCATGTTGTCTGTTAGTCTTGGTCCTCTGAGCAGCCCCAGCCCGGGTGAGATTACCTGCGGGAGGTTCCTGGGGCCGGAGCCCGAGAGGCTGGGAGGGAGGAGGCCCGTCCAATGCAGGTCCGGCCCGAGTCCAGGGGAGGGGGAGCCACTCAGACTGCCCTACCGTTCTGAGGGGGTTGGCAAGGCCGTGGGTCATCCTGAACCAGACACCCCTCACTGGAGCCCGCTGTTCCCCAGGAACGGGCCGGCCTCAGCTGGTGGGAGCAGCCGAGGGCCAAGGCCTTGGTGCAAACTCAGAGATGATTCTGGAGCCTTGGCTGGGGTCCTAGGTCAGCCCCGCTCCCCACATAGACCTGAGAAGCAGTCTCACAGCTTCACACCGTGACACGTCCTTTGTCATTTAATTCTGAAAAGAGAATTTGAGAGCTAAGTACTCTGAACGTCCCCATTTTACAGATGGTAACACCAAGTCCAGGGAGATAATGAAACCTGTCTGAGTTCACACAGCAAGGAACGGGCCACGCGAGAAAGGGAGGGAACTCAGGTCATCAGGCAGTTTGTCCTTCAGTGCTCACCTGCGAGAGACGCTCACCTGTCCGAATTCAAATAGTGGCCCGGAGCCATGACGTATGGCGAACACGAGACCTTTAATGCGGTCTTGCAAGAGCGTGTCTGGTTGAGCAGGCGCACTCAGGGCCGCCATCACAGGCTGCTTATCTCTACGGTGTGAGTCCCTCCCCGGTTCCTCATTGGCGGAGCACTATGGGGTTAACAGTCCCCTCTCCCCCATGTCCCCTTGGTCGTATTGTCCCTATTGGGTTATTTAAAAGTATGGGCTGAAAAAAAAAAATATGGGCTGAGGCCTGTTTTTTTAGTTGTCTCCACCTCCCTCTGTCTAGCCATGGCGGGCAGATCTTCCTGGAAAATGTGCTGCTGGTCATGTACACAGTTCATTCGTATACCCTCTCTCCTCCTCCCCCTGCTCTGTTCGCCCTGGGAAATTCAGTAACCATTTCCGTTACAAGCTGACCGCTTCCTACATAATCCTCGCTCCTGCGCCCACCCTCAGAGCCGCCGCAGGCTGCCCCAGGCCCGGAGAAGGTGGGGGGCCACCACTCGAACCCCAGCACCTCCGGGCTCAGAGTCCGGGCTCCTCCATCACACGCCGCCTGTGACTCTGCCCGCTCGCACTCCGTCTAACCCCGGGAAATTGGCTTTTGTGCCCACGACAGAAAATATGCCAGCTGGAGCCGGAGGGGCGCGTGAAGGTGGACCTGGTGCTGCAGGCGGCCGAGGCGCTGCTGGCCTGCTGCCCTGAGGCCCAGAAGCCCGCGGTTCTGGTGCGGCTAAGGGACGTCAAGGCCCAGTGGGAGGAGACGGTCACCTACATGACTCACTGTCACAGGTAGGGCCGCCGGGACCTGGCCGGGCTTTGTCTGCCGTTGCCCCTGACCCTGCTTGCCCACTGCCGCCCTGGCCTGGCGCCCCCGCCCAAGGGACATTCCGTCAGTGCTGGGCTCGCTGGGAACGGGGCGTTCTCGTGGGATGTTAGCCAGCCCTGCCTGCCTCGTTCTAATTATATTCAAGCTTAATGATGAGAATAGACAGTGGGAGCCCAGCTTGTTTTGCCAACAATTAATTCTGGTTTGACTTGTCACGTGCCCATCGCCAGCGGAAGGGAATGGCCCCGATGGGAGAATGGCCCCGGAGGAGGGAGGGGGGCTGTCTCCTGCTAGCCTTTCAGCCCAGCTTCTCGGCCTGTGGGGTGCCAGGCCGGGGGATGGGGGTTGGACAGAGGGGGCCTCCCACTGTATGGCCTTGGGAAAGGTACTTGACTCCTCTGAGCCTCAGGCTTCTCATCTAGACAATGGGTTTACTCAGATGTTCCTTGAAGGCTGTCAGGAGGATGGAAGGGGGAGATAGCACAGCACACAGTAGGCCCTCAGCAAACGGGTGCTCCATCATTTTTGTTTAATATATTTTTTATTGATTTCAGAGAGGAAAGGAGAGGGACAGAGAGAGAGATGAGAGAGAATCATTGATCAGCTGCCTCCTACAGGCCTCACACTGGGGGTCGAGCCCACAACCCGGGCATGTGCCCTGACTGGGAATCGAACTGTGGCCTCCTGGTTCACAGGTCAATGCTCTTTCAGGCCCTGAGCCACGCTGGCCGGGCACCATCTTAAAACCAGGATGCTGAGTGAGCTGGGGGACCTTTCACTTTTGCTTTTCAACCCTTGTCACTTGGAATTCCCAAGTGGCTCCATGTGACCGGACAGACAGGGCCACATCCATGTTACAGATGAGGTGAGTGAGGAGGCAGGCTTGTGCAGCAAGTTTATGGCGTCCCTGGAACCCACACGCAGGCCCTCAACTTCTGTCCCCACTGTGGGGTGACAAGCCTACAGATACTACTGGACCCTGAAAATTATCAGACACACTCCCGGCGGCATTTTGGTGTCTGTTAGTGGGGGTTTAGGGCTGGAATTTGGGGTGCTGGTAGCTAAGGCTCCATAAGCCGCATTAGCAAGGCTGCGGGTCTCAGAGCAGATTGGAACTGAGCCACCCTGACCCTTAGCCCCTTGGAGCTTACTCCGCAGACACAGGGTCCTGTCCAGCAGGACTGAACAGAGGCCAGAATCCGAGTGTCTGTGAGCTGCCCAGGCGGCGCTGAGGCCCGAGAGGGCGTCCTCCTGTCCCCTCCCACAGCCCCCCGTGCCCGGAGCCAGCTGAGCGGCTGGGCGCGGGCCCGGGCTCCTGCCCCCGCCCG